AATAATCTATCTTTACTAAAGGCCCATTGATAAAGAAATAGTAGGTATCAAAAAAATATAATCAAATCAATATCATCTTAAATGGCCTTGAAAAAGTCTCTTATATAAAAAGTTTCTTTTAAGCTCTTTTCTAACCATTTATAAAAGACTTTCCTAGTTCGTAGGCCTCTTTTAACTTGTTCATGTTTTCTCTCTATAGGCTTACTAATAATGAGTTATCATTCCATCGCAAGAGATTGACATATCTTTTTGTTGTAGAGTATTGGGTTGGTCTAAATAATTTTTCATTTTAGCTTGAGAGCACTCAGATTATATGGATATAGGCAAACCTATTTGAGTTTTAGAGTTCTTAAATTAATTCATGTATCAAATCTTTTTTGTTGAAGTTGTAATTATCAAGCTCTTTGTTTTTTTAATATATTTCTGATTATTTGTATTTAAATTTATTATTAATTTCTATAATGATTACTGAATGTCTCTAATTAATTTAATTTTAGATCTTTTAATTATGGATGAAAAATATTTTTGAATTCATTTAATCTTTGAAAGGATCCAGTTTTAGAAGCATGAAACCGTATTCTTTAAGTAAATTTCTTAGTTCCTTATAGTTTATTGAGTGTATTTGAGAAATAGGTGTTGCTTCATTTCCTTAAGTCCAATATTTATAAATCTACCTTTCAGATAGAGGCGAAATCATTAGTAATTAATGTTGCTTCACAAAACTAAGGTTTTAAGTAAAATTTAAATGTATTTCCAAATATCAAATAGATTTTTATTCAAAGAATTGAAGCAGTATCAATCAACAATTTCTGACATCTATATTTGATAATCATTCTTTAAAATGCTTATTCCATACCTATTTGACAACTAGTATGAATTTTCTCCCTTCCATAACTCCTACTAACTAGTTTATTTCATTAGTAAATCAGAACATACTATAATTTTGGCCAATTTGGTTAAATTTGTTTTACCTTAAAAATCTTCCTTTTTAATGTTATTCCACAAAAATTTAGAATTTTATGAACAATTTTGAAGATGAAATTTGTTAATATGCATTCCTAGGAGAAAAACTTAAGATTATTGGTGAACATAAAATTAATAAATGGTTATACAGAAACCTAATCTTAGAGTAAATGGATCAATTGATGAAATAAATAAGAAAATAACTCTTTTTTAACATCTAAAATTTTCATTTTATGAGATGTAAGACTAAATATAATTTAAATGATTTATATTTAATAAATAAAATAGCTAAAAAAGAAAGTAAATTATCAAGTGAAACATAAAAGACTTATAAAATGATATGTATAATATGATAATGCTTCATAACTTTGATAGTTATTTCTAAATGTAATTCTTATCATTAGATCCTTTTTCCAATGCAGCCAAATAACATTGTTTAGCTTCTGTTTTCTTCCCTAATTCAAATAGTGAATCTGCTAAAAATAAATTAAAGTTTTAGATACCTTTTCGTTATAATCTTAGAGGTGAAATTCTAATAGAAAGAGCTTAATCGTAACATGATATTGCATCATTATATTTCTATAATTTGTGTAGTGCATAACCTGAATGATAATATAATTTACCCTTATTACTCCAACAAGATCATTTTTAGGATTAATGGAAATTGCTTTATCATAACATTCAATGGCTTCTTAATATTTATTCAAATAATGAATAGAAATGAATAGATAATGCCACTCCTAATATATAATTCAATTAGGCATACCTTCATTGAATAATCTTTCAGACTATTTAATATTCTATTACTTTTTATCTTCACTCTCTTAAATAATTTCTTCAATTTTGATTTGATTTTAATCATCAAAAATAATATTATCACTATTTTTTCTTAACTCTATTACCATATTTTAAATTGTATCAAGAATATTATTTAATTATATTATTTGTTTTTCTATTATAATTACTCATAGTATACATATTTAATTTTTTTTTTCCTTTGAATAAAACCTTTTGATTATGTTGATTTATGACTTAAGAGTCAAATACTCTTTATTTTAAAGTTGCTGTTTCATCTTATCTAATATTGTAA